GGGGGGAAACAAGGAATCGAAACCCTTAATGGACTGAATATTGCCGGTTCTTACAGTGGAACCCAGTTACTCAGGGTCCTGTGGCACAGTGGTCTATGCCCGCGACTCCTAATCGAGGAACTCGGGTTCAATCCATGGGCGGACGGAGACGGTTGAGAACATTTACTTCAATCCCCTTCTGTGGTTGATTGTTCAATAAATCCCTGAACTATATGTTTAACAGATCTCTAACCCTGTCCATGGAGGGACAGATGAAAATGTATATATGCTGGTTAGCATTGTAAATGTCTGGCCACGTCTGTGGTAGAAAATAATAATAATAAAGATGCCTTTCTTCACCTAGCAGTATCTAGGTACCCTAGAAGTTAGGTAACTGGTGGGTTGCATCCTGTAGCAGGTCAGTAGTCGGCCTATGTAGGCCTTCATATTTATATGAAAATTACATATATGGGTATATATGGTAGTTACACATGCAGATATACATACACACAACAGAAATGAATATAATGAATATACACCAACAAAAATATAAACAGTGGACTGAGAGCCGTTGAAAAAGGCTCCCACAATTAGAACCCGCCCCGCTCCCCCCCGCCCCCAAGTCCGTCCACCGGTCGGGTCGCCAAGTCAAGGACAAGGTTACTGGTAGCTCTTGAGGACGACCCGGTGATTCCCACGCTCCCCATCCCCACCAGGACGATGCCAGTGTATCAGGACGTCTGTGTTCGGTCTGTGTGGAGGTGCTCGGCGTGAGGAGCAGCAGCATGGTGTAGGGGGGTGGCGAGGGTGTATGTGTGTAGGGGTGTAGACGAGGGGGTGAGTGGGGGAGCAGGTGTTGGGGGGGTGGTGAGGGGCAGGTCAGGGATTAGGGGGGAGGGGAGCAAGAGTGCGTGGGAGTTTGTGATTGCGGTATATTTGGTTAATATATATGGTGTTGTAACATGTGGGTGTTTGTCTGAGGTTACACATCTAGCCAAAGAGCCTCCAGGGATTCCATCGTTCCAGTGGTGGGTTATTGCAGATTATTCTATGCAATAATCTAGCACCCTCGCCCCTATTGACCTCTCCACATACGCCCCTCTCGACCCCTACACAAGCCCCACTCTCCAAACGGGCCGTCATTAGTCGGAATTTTAAGCCAAAAAATCCAAGCCTAAGTGTTCAAAATACGCCACATATACAAGGCTTCATGACTACAAGTGTCAGAAATAAGACGTCTTATCCTCCAGCTTAACTCTGGCCATGTTAGGCCCTCCGTCACATTATGCTGTTCAGGTTTGGGCACCGTATTATAGAATGGACAAATTCTTTAGGAAGCATTCAGAGTTAATCCCGAGATCAGAAACCACCATTATGAAGAGGTTAAGAAATCCTAATTTACATTCTGTAGTATGGCGAGGAGCAAGCAGGATGGGGGGGGGGGGAGAGACATGATTGCTGTATACAAATAGTTGAAATAGTATAACAAAAGCGGATATTAATAAGGTCCTAAACATGTCCACACACAATAGAAACAAGATAAAATTAAACCAACCCGCACATAGGAAATGAGAAGTGACGAGGCTTCGAATCCCTCCTGATAAGGGTCTATGACGGACCCTCCCCCCCCCCCCCCCCCCGGCCACTGACATGGGTGTGGGTTGGGTTATTAATGACCCAACACGTTGCGGTTACCTATTCTCTTCAGTAGATATAAATTAGATTCGTTTACGCTCAGAGAAGACCTGGGTATAAACACAGGTATCGATTTATAGAACAGATTACCAAGGAACAGCACAGACGTGGTAGTACGGGACTGTTACAGGCACAGGTCAGCCTAGACTTGATCCTAGACGTATATACGAGTTCAGTATCATATAAATAAGAGCTGTCGGGCGTGGGCACTTTTCTAATTTCACTTGTCAACATCATTCAGAATTTTGTATGTCGCTATCATGTCCCCTCTATTCCTTCTCTTTCTTTGTATATACTGAAGGGAGAGCGATCTTTCAGATTTTGTATTTATTATAGTTGGGGAAAAAATTGGCGGGAATGTACATTTGGTCGGTTACAATATCTGCACTTTCTTCCTCTGTCGTGTTGATTCCTATTTCCCATGAAAATGGGAAACCTAGTGACAGTCTGTGTTCCTCATTCACCCCCCCCCCCTCCTGGGTGGTATCTGTACTGAAGGTTGTGGTGTGTGTACCCCGGTAACACCTCCACCAGGCAGCTGATGGGGTTGTTACAACCGTGTGATCCCGCTGGTAGGATTGTTTCCAGACTATCATTATAGTTCCCCTGCAGTAGACCGGAGCTTGTTGGGACGCCCACATCTATACACTCTCTTCACGTGGTCCTTCACCGGCTATCGACTTGAGAATGGTCCAAGACGGACCGAAACATCGTCGTCCCTTCACCTTCTAGTGTGTGGTCTGGTCAACTTCTCCGGTTAGTTGGTCCCCAGATTCATTACAATAGATCCCTACATGGTCTGGCAACCAGTTAGTTATAACTTTTCTTCCTGGTACCTAAAGGTTCTGAAGGAGGAAGATTGTGGTGATTAAGTTCTCATTGCCTATTATTCTTATTATGATTGTATTATTATTATTATCTAGCGGTTAAAGATTCCATAGGGCTGAAATAGCTGTCTTCTAGTCGGTGTTGATCAATACATTATGACTACTGTCATAAGCACGTTCAAGGGACAGCCTGATGACAAACATTTCCGTCTGATTCCGTCACAATGGACTTGAGAATGGTCCAGGACGGACCGAAACATCGTCGTCCCCTCACTGTCTAGTGTGTGGTCTGGTCAACATATTTCAGCCACGTTATTGTGACTCCTCGTCTGCATTTCCGTCTGTAATGCTTATCACTGTTTTGCTAATGGAACAGGACGGGGAGTAGACAGCTGCAGCATGGGTGGAGTGTTGGGTAACAGAACCATCAGTGTATCTTGAGGTTATCTTGAGATGATTTCGGGGCTTTAATGTCCCCGCGGCCCGGTCCTCGACCAGGCCTCCACCCCCAGGAAGCAGCCCGTGACAGCTGACTAACACCCCAGGTACCTATTTTACTGCTAGGTAACAGGGGCATAAGGTGAAAGAAACTCTGCCCATTGTTTCTCGCCGGCGCCTGGGATCGAACCCAGGACCACAGGATCACAAGCCCAGCGTGCTGTCCACTCGGCCGACCGGCTCCCAAAACGTCGTGTAGTGTGTAGCTGTGTTGTGGGGTAGTGTAGTGGGCCATTAAGACTAGGGCCTCGGCTTTGAGATGATGAGGGAGATTTCCTTCCTTGAGTTTGGCAGGTTTAATCTTAGCTCTTTGGCAAGAGGAGCCGACGATGGCGGTGGTTCGTAGCCTGATGCGGGTGTCCGGTCCTTATTGGTGGGTGTTAGGCACCTGATGATCATTAAAGTTCTTGATTAGTGCAGTTATCCTCGGTTCTGTAAGGTTCTTTACAGCTCATAGGAGTCTCGTTTGGAAGAAACATCCGGTATTGGGTTTAAAGATCTTTACTGCTACCTGCTTGATACCTGCTTGATGGGGTTCTGGGAGTTCTTCTACTCCACAAGCCCGGCCCGAGGCCAGGCTTGAGGAATGCTGTCAGGGATTGGATGCTAGTTCCAGGTGGTTCCAGGTTTGTCTTCAGGTATGGTTCCAGGTTTGTCTTCAGGTATGGTTCCAGGTTTGTCTTCAGGTATAGATTTCCAGTTTTCGTCCATTTTGGTGCACCTGTGATGCTCCTCGTGACTCTGTTGAGTAATGACTCAGTTCTGATGTTGACCAGACCACACACTAGAAGTTGAAGGGACGACGACGTTTCGGTCCGTCCTGGACCATTCTCAAGTCGATCGACTTGAGAATGGTCCAGGACGGACCGAAACGTCGTCGTCCCTTCAACTTCTAGTGTGTGGTCTGGTCAACATACTTCAGCCACGTTATTGTGACTCATCGCCTGCACTCAGTTCTGACTCACGTCGGGGCTGCGTGAGTGTAAAATGTCTTAAGAATTAGACACCCAACCCCACACATCTGAATATAAAGGCAATGAGGACGTCTTGGTCCGTCCCGTACTGGTGGACAACAAGTGGAACGCCTTGAAAGAAGCTGTGGAAGCCACCTCCATCCCCAACTTTAAGGCCTGTTTCTACAAAGAATTCCATCGTCTGAAAAGTTAAATTGTAACGTAACGGGTTTAACAAGGCTTGATGGCAGGACATAAAGTGCTAGACCTCACCTCCCCTGAACTTACCGACAGGTAAGTACTTCAGTGCAGGCCTACGGGTGTAAGAGAAAGAAGCTTAAGAATGCAGACTCCGTCGTTGTTGTTTAAGATTCAGCTACTGGGGAATAAAAAGTTCTAAGTAGCACGGGCTATGGTGAGCCCGTAGTAGACTTACCTGGCACAGGAGCGGTGCAGACTCCATTCCCCGGGACTCTTATAATGTAGCAGGTGTGACTGTGCACCCTCACACCCCCCCCCCCCACACACACACCTCCAGGACGAGCCTAAGCTGCCTCCAGGACCCAACAATAAAAACAAATTTAGGCCTAAGGCAAGGTAGTTATGGTTCAACCAGGAATTAGTGAAGGCGATCACGTGTTATAGGGAACCGTAGGCTTATATTTATTTATATATAAGAAGGTACAGTGGGCTTATTAGAGTACAGAGACTTGAATTTTTACATTGTAGTGAAGTCACTAGCACGCATAGCGTTTCGGACAGATATACCGTCAAATGCGAGTGACCTCGACTGTTTCAGATTGTGGGAACAACTGTGTAATCCTAATACGTTTTAGTGACACGCGATCTGTCACTGTATTATTACAGAGGTCACTGGACCCTACTGGCTCAAGCAAGTCTTGCAAAAGGCTTTAGAAGATAAGAATTTAGGCCCCTGCGGAAGGTCAATTAGCCCCATACACAACCGCTCCTGCCTCGGGCCATCATTTTGCTGGTACGTCTCGACGAATTAACACGCATGCGAAAACCAAATGCTATGGAGGCTTACCGTCCAACATGATGACCTGCTGATTCCTGAGACTGGTCCAAATCCCCAAGACACAGCTCCACGACGACACCTTGAACCACTTGTCACACCGTACGTCCTCGTTCGTTCATTTCCGCTGGTTTAATGAGCACAGGTATTAACCTCCGAGGGTAAGAGGGAGATCCAGTTACGCGGCGGGGAACACTTAAGTCACTAAGAGGCGGCGGGAGCGCCAACCACACACGACCGTGGGAGAGGTAAGCCAGGCGGACACTGAATGTTGATCTCATCTCGCGCGCCTTCTGGGCCCCACGTTTTGGCTGGTGTCAAAAGTCACGGGCTACGTCATGGCCTTCTCGAGAGCTCATTGGCTCGGCGAACGTTCCCTTAGCGACGTCATCGGCGGCTCTGACGCGCGGATTGGTCGAATCTCTGTGGCGTTGTATGTAGTTTAACGTGGTCAGGATAATCTTAAGGAAATACTGCACTGGGATTGGTTATTGATTTCATGAGCTAAGCGACAGTAAGATTTATTGACTGTGTTTCAGGAGGATTGTGTGACATCATCACCGTTCTTGCATCTTATTGGCAGGCGCGTGCAGGTGTTTAGTGACGTCAGTGCCGGTATGAGCCCCCATTGGTCGAACGGGTCTCCCATATGATCTCTTTGTGCGCTAATTGGCTGTTATTCCTCTCGGGCTCAGAGCTCAAAGTCACAGATCATTGTACCATGTAATCAAAACTTTGTACCCGCGACACAAGATTTATAATCACATATGAATTAAAAATAATTAAAGTACAAAATGATTTGTTGTCTATTAACTACTAGGTGAACAGGGGCATCAGGTGTATATGGATACGTGCCGAAGCCTTGATCACCATGACCCGGGAATCAAACCCGGTTCAATCGGTTGCGAGTCGGTTTATGAGCTAGTTGCTGGTGGTGTGAATGTGTACTCACCTATTTGCGGGGGTTGAGCTCTGGCTCTTTGGTCCCGCCTCTCAACCGTGTATGCATGTGTATGTGTTGACGAGTGTAAATATTAGTACACACTTTTAAGTGTCTTCAAGTGTGCTAATGTGTTGGACTTACGTGAGTACACTGAGTCCAGACCCACTATGAGTGTGTTCACAAGTGTATCAGAGAATATGCACAGGTGCGTTTGTGTTCGCAGGTGCGCATGATTGTAATCACGTTAATTAGCGTGTGTGCTGACAGGTGCGTACGGGAATGTGTTCGAAAAAAATTGAATCAACACGTGTCCTTGAGATTATTTACAGTCGCCGCATGAGTGTGCGCCAGAAAGCTGTCATTACTGTCAAGACGTGCGCTGGGTGACGGTCGCAGCGGTTTTAATTAAGTCCATTTTTTCAGCTCCACGAATATTGTTAATACAAGTCCGTATCAATCCGTACTGATATTATTAACACTAGTACCAGGTACCTTATCTATTTGCCTGTAATGGGTAGCTTATCTAGTTGATTGTAATGGGTATATTATCTATTTACCTGTAATAGTCGCTTATATATATTCTTGCTTATAGGGGTAGCTTATCTATTTGCTTGTCATTTGTAAATGATTTGCTTGTAATGGGTAACTTATCTATTTGATTGTAATGGGTAACTTATCTATTTGATTGTAATGGGTAACTTATCTATTTGATTGTAATGGGTAACTTATCTATTGTTTTTCTATTGCAGGGGTGAGCTTAGTGAATGAGTACACGTGGGTCTTCATAGTATTCTTGCCAGCTGTTTGGGTCGTAGTAATCCCTGAATTTTGTGATCAGTTGAGAGCTGTGATGATTCCAAATATTATTGTTTTGTTTTATTTTGTGTAGCAGTCTCCGTGGCGCAGTGGTAAGACACTCGCCTGGCGTTTCGCAAGCACCTTGCCTTGGGTTCGAATCCTGGCCGGGGAGGATTGACCGGGCGCCAATCCTTAACTGTAGCCTCTGTTCACCCAGCAGTGAATGGGTACCTGGTTGTTAAACGATTCGGCGGGGTCGTATTCCGGGGAAATTAGGGTTAAGGACCTTGCCCGAAACGCTACGCGTAATAGTGGCTTTACAAGAATGTAAAACTCTTGTATATACTTGATAGGTTACCCAGCGGTGCCTGGGCATGTTTCTCTCTCCGTTCCGTACCCTTTCTGCCCCCCTTTCCATTCTCTCTCCCCTTTGTCCCATTCCTTCCCGTTCTCTCTCATTGTTGCAAATATGCCCTAGTAACATTCAAGCAACGTTATCAACGATGAATCGACACTGAACCAACGCCATTCAACGTTGATAACATCCATAAAATGTTTAAACACTCTATGGATAATCAAACCCATGTCTCATACTTTCTATAGGAGTTACAGGTTCACAATAGGTGTCGATCCTTCTTAAGGAGGGGCATGGGGTTAATGTATGTGTGTGTGTGTGTGTGTGTGTGTGTGTGTGTGTGCGTGTGTGTGTGTGTGTGTGTGTGTAAGAGTTTGGGAGGGGGGGAACAATCCCCCTTGGTCATAATAATATACAACCTGTTCTCGCAAATTTAATAAGTCAATATTGACTTATTAAATATGTGCATAGGTGACATACTTAACATAATAGTTTCCCTTGAAAAGCTTCATAGAAAACACCGACCTTACCTAACCTACAGTACTTAGTATGTTAAGATAAGCATCTTATTGCTTCATAATTACAATTAATACCTAACCAATACCTATAATAGGTTAAGTAACAATTGTAATTACGAAGCTATAAGATGCTTATTTTAACATACTAAGTAGGTTAGGTAAGGTCGGTGTTTTCTATGAAGCTTTTCAAGGGAAACTATTATGTTAAGTATGTCACCTATGCACGCAACTAATAAGTCAATATTGACTTATTAAATTTGCGAGAACGGGTTGCAATATACGGCACCCAGGGGAGTCTTGTGGGTCTTTGAATACATGCACATGCATATATGTATCCTAACAACCTTTGTATTTGGTGCACACTTTATCGCAAGGTTCCTGCCAGGAACCACGAGTGAGCAGTGGGCTTGTATCCTCACGTATGAACCCAAGCAACCCACCTAACCTATCGAGGTCAATGCATGGGAAAAAATCTGTATTAATGTGTTTTAATCCATAGTAATACCTCGCATTTTAATGCATTGAACAGTTGCATAAAATATGTGATATATTAGTTGTGAGGACAGGTTGAGTATAGGTGCTGGAAATGGTGGCTGGGAGCTCTTGGGTCTTTTATGATACAGTGAGAAACTGTAACTTATTCACAGTACAAGACGACATCCGGAGAGGAAGCCTGGATAGATGTGACCAGCTCACGGCAAAACAGGTCGACAAAGGTGAGAATAGAGATAATTACAAGACAGACAAAAAGTTTAATTGCACCCTGAAATGTAATATGACAGGAACCCGCTTTTTGTTTGACTCTGGACAAAGCTTGAGATGAGGCTGCTGACTCCCTGCCAGGGGCCAGATTCACGAAGGCACTTACGCAAACACTTACGAACCTGCACATCTTTTCTCAATCTTTGGCGGCTTTGTTTACAATTATTAAACAGTTAATGAGCTCCGAAGCACCAGGAGGCTGTTTATAACAATAACAACAGTTGATTGGCAAGTGTTCATGCTTGTAAACTGTTTAAGAAATGTAACCAAAGCCGTCAAAGATTGAGGAAAGATGTACACGTTCGTAAGTGCCTTCGTGAATCTGGCCCCTGGTGATTATCCTCGTCCAGAACTGCCTCGTTGCTCTACCTCCATTTGTGTTGTCTACCTTAACGTACTATGGACAGCAATAAATATATCATTAACAAATTATCGAAAGTACAATCCATTTTCTGGATTGAATCGTCTTTGTTACCTTTAATTAAACAAGTTATATTGTTTCTCGTTAACTCTAATCATAAATTTGTTTTCTTTAAGTAGGGATTTAATGAAAGGTATTGTGACGTCACTGAGTCATGTCCTGTGGTCACACGTAACAAGGCACCGAGGAACTCCACCCTGACGGCCGGATGTGACCACATGTATCAGTCACACCTGTAGATGCCTGCATGGTTGTAGACTGTAGTCAACTATTAGTAGCAGTAGTTAGTGCAGTTTAGGCAGTGGTGTCACTGCCACACTAAATAATTTCGGTGTGATGAAGCCATTTTGCATTTTGCAATGTTGCAAAGTATGAGTTGTATACATGATGCTGGAGCAGTATAAGGCGGAGCCCTGTATGCTCTATCAATGCGTCCCTGTTTTCTTCAGAGATGAGATTTCAAGGTTAGGGGTGTAAGAAATATGCTAGATATTGTTAAATTTCTTGATAGTTGTCCTTCATATGATAGGTTGAAATAAAAAATTCACTCGGTGAAATCAGTCCATAGAGCCTGAAAAATTATAGTCAATGAATGTTAAAGCTTTACAAGAAATAGTTGGACCCTTGGTAAAGCTATTAAGGATATCTAAAACCAAATTCTATTGTTTGTTTTCATTTAGAGTTAGCAAGGTTTTTGTTCACTTAGATATGGTCCTGCTACCTTTGAGAATGAGTTTTGAGGCTGGGGATGTAAATAATAAGCTAGATGTGGTTACATTTTTCTGCAGACATGTTCATTTAATAGTCTATTATATCATAGGATGACATTAAAATTCTGCTAAATGAAATTCGCCCATAAGGTATGCCTCCTGGAGGCATCTCCGGCTGCAACGAGTCCCTCACTACAACGAACTGGGGTTGGTCCCATAAAGTTCATTGAATCGAAGTTGTGATTTAAAAAAAAAACAAGAAAAAAAAAGGTCCCTATTGTATACTATCTTGTCCATGACTTTCTTTTTTGTCAAGAGTTTCATAGCAGACTGCTAGAATTTACCTCCTTAAAATTATCTGTTAAATTAAGGATCAGCTCGAAATGCTGCATGAACTAGTGGCTTTACAAGAATGTAAACACCATGGTAAGTACCTTCACAAACCCAATGTACCTTCTTGTATATATATAAATAAATTTAAAAATCATTACAGTTTTCAAGTTGTGTATCAGAAACTACTTCCATAATATCTTATAGCATTAAAAACAAAATGTAAATTGAATAAAGTTTTATTTAAATTCCTTACTGTAATGTACTGTACTTATACTAGAAACAAATATCCGTTAAGTATGATAATGTAAACAATGAGTCACAATAACGAGGCTGAAGAAATGATTACCAAACCACAACTCAGAAGTCGGAGAAGCGACAACGTTTCGATCCGCCTTGGACCATTATCAAGATCACACAACTTGATAATGGTTCAGGACGGACCGAAACGTCGTCTCTTCTCCATCTTATGGGTTATGGTTGGCTCATCATGATAATGTAAGAATGGAAATTATTAAAAAATGTGGTCAATAAAACAATTTATTTAATATCAATTCTCTATATTAAAAAACTACATTATACAACATAAAAATGAAGGTGGTGGAAAATCTCACTACTAGTGACAAGCGTCATAAAAATGGGTAACTTTGGTACACCAAAAAGAAATTACAATACAACACACAAATCCTGTAAGATTAGCACGTATATTAAAGGCTTAACAGTGAAAATAAGAAAGTCAACGAAACGGAAGATTTAGATAAATTGTAAATTACCAGTCACGACTTTGAATCCACATAATTACTGTATAATCTCTAGATATATATATAGGGTTTAACAATTTCATTTAAATTTAATTAATTTTGTCAGGGACAGGAAGCCTGTGTATATACACAGGCTAATATCAAGGACCTCCCGCCGCAAGTTCAAACTACTCGCCCTTACAAAGGATGCAACCCCACAACAGTTGCCTAACTCCCAGGTAACCATTTACTGCTAGGTGAACAGAGGCATTATGTGAAAGAAATATGTGCTCAACAATTTCTATCCCAGCAAGGAACTGAATTTGTGATCCCTACTTGCAAGTCGAGACCAATTACTAATTGGAACACCACCGTTGGGGACAGGAACCATTAGGATTATCGAGGTCCCTTTAGTACTACAAAGACACTGCCCACGTTACCACCAATAATTCCTGGTTCGACCCAACAGTGTTTAACCTGACTGACCGAGTCAGGTTAAATATGGATGATGTATATCATCCATTGTGTCAAACTGATGACAAATATAATGTATCTACTCATAAACCCTAAAAAATTAATAATACTATTTTTTTAAGTACTGTATCAAAATCAACAAGGGATTTCTTACCCTTGGCAAAGTGCACATGCCCTGACTGAGGTAAGAGGTGACATGATCCAGAGTCCAACACATTTTGACATACTGTAGTACAAAATATACCTGGCACTGAACAAGTCATAACAAGGAACTACAACCAACATTTCAAGTATAATTTTTTCTTAAAATATGTGGAAGAGTCTGAGAAGCCAACCCACTTAGGAAAGGAAATTGCTAAAAAATGGTTGAGCTTGTTACAATCATTTGATAGGAGCATCTTTAAGGCTTGGAACAGTTACAGGACCACTGCTGGTGCTCAAAATATCCCCATTCCATGTTGCTATTAAAGATGAATTCGTTTTGAAGCCCTCTAACATCTTTGACAGAGCATCACTCTTTTTTGTGTTCAAGACAAGATCTGGTTCACCATCGTAACCCTCTGCAATTACACGGTCACCTGGTTTGCTGCCAGGGCTTGGCTGGAGAGGTTCAACTGCAGCCGGCTCACTAACCGAGGCACACAAAACCATACCAGCAGATCTGATCCCCCGCATGGTTGCTGGCTTCAGGTTTGCCAACACTACAACCATTCTATCATGCATATCTTCAATTGGGACGTACTTTACAAGACCACTAACAATTGTTCGTGGTTCCTCCTCACCAATATCAATTTTCTCTACATAAAGGGACTCTGCATCTGGATGTCTTGAAACTTCAATTATCTTTCCAACACGCATATTGAACTTGGATGGCACAAATTCCTCGCTACCACCTGCTGGTTTTTGAGGGCCTTTTGTTTTCTTAGGAGGAGATGGATAAGCTTGATTTTGCAATTTTTTCATGCTAGATGTTTCTGCTGCTTTGCGTATAGGATTGATGAGTCTCTTCAGATACTCTAAAACACAGTTTTTAAGGTCGCCTGGATGTAAACTTTTTTGGCTAAAAGTTTTCTCCAAGGCTTCAAAGGATTCAAACTCCATATCACCACCATTTTCTTCTGACCGCATAATTTTAAATTTTTCTTCGCCCAGTACAGGCATAATTACTGCCTTTATCACTGACAAAACAGGATTAAAGCTGATATTGCCTTCTTCACAGAACGCAGATTTGATTTTTTTTTTCATTTGTGATTCCTGCTCAATGAGGTCAATGTACTCCTCTTCTGGACTGAGAGCAGCTCTGTTTAAGAGAGAGGGTAACTCTAATCCAGCCAAATGAATACATGGTTCTCCACCTACTAAAGGTAAGCTTGTCTTGATGAATTCAAATAATGGTGCATTCTTTGAACCACAAAAATGGATATTGGCGTGTAAATGTTTCTCATCCAAAGCCATCATGTCTGGGTAAAGAAGAGCAGAAAGGAGATTTGGATCCTTCAAAATGGTTGAAACAGCATCATTCGAGTCTTTACATGTAACAAGAGCAGTCATTCTATATAAATCAAGCATATATTCTTCCTTTTTCTGAAAGTCGCTCCCTTTTACAAATTTTACATTTTGAAGGGGAATGTTATTTGTAGTCATAACTGTTTTAATCAGCTCTAAATAAAAGTTAGCTCTATGTGAAGCAACCTCCCAGGGTACTTGACAACCATCTAAATAGGAAAGAATATCACTGGCCAAAACAGTAACATGACATCCAGCAGCCAAGAAATCCCTTATTTTCGCGACAAGTCCAAGAACACCAATGTCTGGCCGTCTTACTATCGGTACTGTCCACAACACATGTAAAGAATGCCTCAAAGCAGCACTCAGGGCAGGTGGTGGTTCATGTGCTAAATGTTTGCTCATAAAATTCAACCGATCATCAAGACAAATCCCTTCTACTGTTAGCTCTTCTTTCTTGGCAGTACTGACTGCATTGGTTAAAGGAATCTCCATTTTGGAATGTGGATATGCCAACTTAACAAGCTTCTTCAGTTCTGGTGTCTCGAATTCCTTCCGAATATGATCCAAAAGCAAATTTAAAAATGTAATGACATACATTTTTATATTTTCTCCATCTACTTTTCCATCCACAAAGTCTGCCTTCAGTTGTTCAAAGGAAGAAAACTTTTTCCCACTGCTTAGCTCAAATGATTTACCTTGGCCCTCCAAAATTGGAAACACTACATAATTCACAAAAGCCATGACACCATTATCAGGTGAAGATGGATCACACGAAGCTCCATTTAGTTTATCCTCTAGTACCTGTGCGGAGTCAAGAAGATCTATTTTGGAATCAATTTCCGAAGAAGACATTTTTCCTCCACTTAAACCAGGAACCATTGGATTCATCAAGTGTGACCTTTTTTGATAACCAAGTTTGGGCAAGTATTTTTCAGCATAAGTAAATATTTTCCTTTGGTCAACTCCACCAAACTGAGCATCTACTCCAAGATATTCCTCATCAAGTGCTTGAAGACCAGGGTACAGAAGACCAGACTGAAAAGGGGCCTCTATCTGTTTAACAACTTCTGCTCCAGCCTTCTTGGCATCATGCTCAGTAACCATTGCTGTTAACCTGTACACATCCTCAGTGAATTTTGCTCCTAGCTGGTAACTTGTGCCTAGAACAAGATTGGCAGAGATTAATATGTAGCTTTGTAATTTATGAAATGGTTTTATCCTCCAAACACTGCATTTGTCTTATTTTGGAGGCTAGTTATAAAATGAACTTTGTTTTGCATGTTCGTATACCCAGAATGTTGGCAAATACGAACTATGTTATCGTATTTGTGGAAGTGCCAAGTGTTTAACTTGGTGTTCTTATGTGTAGCTCTGATAGGGGTGCCACTGTGTTTGACCAGCCGAGCACTTGAGCAGGTATGAATTATGGACTTGCACACTCATAAGCTGATAGAACGCTACCTAATTGAATGTCCTCATGTGTAGATAATTATTGCCTTACTGGTAAACTAAGAGTGCTTACCTTTTAGTAAATACTTACCAGTTGACTTCAGGGGAGTGAGATCTATCTCGTAATGCCCCACCTCCTAGCTGTTTATACCTGATGTGCTAATTACCCCTCAGCATTAATGCTTTCATCATACTGTATCGTTTCTTAAAACTAAAGCACTCTTCTGACTTGCCTCGGGGAGATACTGAAGGGAGTTTTCCAAAAATCAAACCTTGAATGTAATTAAATATTCTTTTTTGGCAAACCATTCATTAGACTCCCCACACATACCTTATTTTCTTTTCCTTGGGTATTATGGCGGAGCAGATAAGCTGCTCCATGTTTCTTAAATAAAAAAAAAAAACGAAAAATAAAAGTTGAAACAATCTGAAAAACGGACAAATGCCATAAAGGTTAATTCAGCGTTTGTTGGGTAGGCTGCTCCATTATGACAATCTTTCTTTGTTTCAAATGTATTCCATTTGTTTTGTATTTTTGATTTACGTCTTGGTAATGGCGCAGCCTACCCGACAAACACAGAACAAACCTTTATGGCATTTGTCTGTTTTTCAAATTGTTTCAACTGTTTTTTATTTTTCGTTTTTTTTAATTTAAGAAACATGGAGCAGCCTACCTGCTGAACACTGAATGAACCTTTTTGACATCTGTTGTATTTCAAATATTTTCATTTCTTTTTTTCCACAAAAAAGTCAATGCTTTGCAACATCTCGGCAGTTCACCCCTTTATATCATAGCATCATTAGCCTCTTTAAACAAAAACAACATTTTATTTGCATCGTCAGAGGTGTCCGAGAATGTGCTAGAAGCAGCTCGATCCCACCATCTGGTGTTGTCGTTATTCAAATGAGCGGTCGCCATACGAGACGAATTGTCGGCGATCTGGGTAATCGTTACCCAAAATGCTCGTAATCAGTAATATACTGGTTTGTACAAGTTGTTATGGATTAAGTTTCTTATCCTGACAACAGTATAACACATTGACATTATCATGACTTATGTAATTAATGCACTTTACTTTTAATGAAAACTTTCCCAATTATAAATGTACTACCATTTATGAATAAAGATATGTGTTTTGACTTGATTAAACTGTAAAGAAAACAACGTTTGATACAAAAACAGTCTTACCCTGCACAAATTTGAGCTTCTCGGTGGATACTCCGATAGCAGAAAGCATTGCCTTTATGGCAGCCTCATAATACTGTGTTCTGAACTTTATCAACTCCCAAGGAGCTTTCATGTTGTCCAAATAGGCATGAAGGTCAGCCAAAAGAATAGTAACCTTAAAGGAAACAAATTATCAGTCAATATTAGAATAAGTGTATATATATATATAGTACTAAAAAAATAAAAACAAAAAGCAGGAATGAAATAAAAGCAGAGAACACAGTTTGGCAAATAAAAAAAAATTATTATTCAAATACTGTAATAGCAATTCATCTTTAGACACAAAGAAATTGTTCTCTTGCATAGATGTTATTTTGATGAACATATTTATTAGTTACCGTCCCAGAAAATCTAACTTTGCAACCTTAATAAAGTCCAATATAAATTTCAATAAGTAGAAATGATTCAGATGAACTACTATGGAAAGTCTAGGATTTGTAAACTACTTTAAACCATATTTCAAACTGCTTTGAAGAAATACATCTTGCAAGGAAAAGATGTACTGTATATACCTGTATTGCATAATATGAACTCATTTAAAACTTTAAAATATTAAAGATATATAATAGTATTGTATAATGAAACTGAAATATAACAAACTCACTTCACATCCGGCACTAAGAAAGTCTGCAATTTTAGTCATTGGTACAAAGTATGCAACATGTGGCCTTCCTGTAGTCGCGGTGCCCCAATAAATTTTCAAGGGCCTTTCCTTCAAGATAGCCATGATGCGGTCCTCCCCAATCACTTCATCTAACCTCCGAGTGATGAGTGCGAACCTCTCTTCTGGAGTCATCTTCAGCTGAGTGCCGTAAGACAGATGAGCACATGTACAAAAGCCATTAACTATTCACAATTTCCTGAATCATTTCAATCAACTAAACATCTTGGACATGTTGTGTATTACTATTGACACACACACCAACATAAAAGGGTAAATTATTATTTTCCATACAAATGCAAGTAATAACTAATAAAACAGAGCATAGTAACCCCACACAGTGTGTTGTTGCATAAATAGCATAGGATACAGTATGTTACTGCACACAGCATGCCATATAATATGCTGTTGCATATAGCTCAGCATAATGTATGCTGCTGAATACATACGGTCCAGAATTACAGTGGTTAGCACAATTGATATATCAGAGGTTTGACTCACACACAGGATGTCAAATACAGATGAAAAGACACAATAACGTGGCTCAAAGAATGTTAACCAAACCACAGACTAGAAATTGAAGAGACGATGACGTTTCGGTCTTACCTGGACCATTATCAAGTGATAAAACGTCGTCATCTCTTCAATTTCTAATGTGTGGTTTGGGCAACAGGATGTCAAATGTTTGGGGTATTTTTCCATTTATCTGGGGCTGGAAATTTAATTTTATGACCTGCAAGCATTTTTGTTTTAAAACAGTGAAGGCATGCTTACCATGTGTATATTAGATTTTAAAATTCTAAAGACTACAAAGAAAAATAACAATCTTATCTTTAAGAAATCAAACATTACCAAATAGAAGAATATCACACTATGTATTTATAACAAAATATGATATTAAAGCAAACTAATGCTTATACTGTACTGTATTTATAAAATCCATAAACTTTAAAATTAAATGTTTTTCATACTAATACACTATATACTGTATACAGTAGTCCCATATTGTGCATAGAGTAAAGCTATTCAAAAAATGGTACTCCTCTTTGTATTACACTGAAATCAAGGCAATGAGACGAAACTAATGATTCCAATTCTTACGCAGCATAATAGTGCATCCTAAAACATAATTTAAGGGCTTTATAGTTTAGGGTAAGGTTGTTTGTATCCAGATAGTTGCTGGTTATTGGCCACTGACAGTGAAAAAATTAAACACAGCCTACACCAGTGCATAAAATGAGACATCAGCACCAGGTACTCTAAATTGCCTAATTTACTCTAAAATTTGGTAGTTTGCAAGAAATGAGCCACTAAAAATTGCAGTTCCAGGTGCCAGTGTCTGGAACACAGGGGTGCCAGTGTCCAGACACCAATCCAATAAACAATTCAGAAACAAGGTATGTTATTCTTGGAGTGTTGCCTATTACTATCAAAATAAAAGGAGGTACAATGTAGGCTATAATATACATGGCTATACTTTAGAAATTCACTTTTATACATGGGTGATATGTTTCGGCATCTGGATACTGACACTGGGGTGTAAGATTCTTAGCATACCCAATAATTCTAAACACCATTCTTTATACATAATATCTACATGGATATTACATGTACAGATTCCACTGTAATGTCATTTCATGGTATTTTTTTTTCCATTCATGCCATAAACTTTTAATATATATTTGTTTGTCCACTACATGAATATCAATAAACTAAGTCTATGAATATCAATAAACTAGGTCTGGTAAAGAGTGAGTTTAACCCAATAGAAAATAATGTAACTAACATAAATCAGGGAGCATACAATTGTAACTGAAGCTGTGATAACTTAGTAATTCAAGAATATCCTAGCTAAAATATTCCCCCCATCTATAACATTTAACAACAGATGGCAAACAAGACAAATATAGGAGTGGCAGGCCTTATTAAAAAAGTAGATTGAAAAATAAATGGTATAAACTGCTCACTGGAGTAAAAATTTTTAACATAAAGCAACCTTATTTCAGACTACTATTGCAGGACTTTTACATAGTTCGTAAGTAAATACTCTACACTCTGTAATCTGGGTTCCATTAACACAAATTATAGATTTAAAAAGAGGTACAGCACTGTCAAGAGGAAAATTGTCGGTGAAACATTTAGTGCAGATACGTGCAGTGTCAAAACTAGCAGTCAAAGCTGGCCTCGCCAAGCACATGTAAAGCAATTTAGATTAGGTAAGGTAAATGAACAGCAGAGAAGGCCTTCATCAATCAAGCACATATATTTTAACAAGGCAAGTTCAAACTTATGTTATTGTCATTAAATTATTATTACAGCATAAGAACGTGTATAGAAATATGTATTAGTTGTGGCACAAAAAATACAAGAATTTTAAGACTTGATATTCCTGGTAAGAAATTTGGCAAAGGCGACCGTTCAGGTAACTTGAAGGGAGTAGGTCCCGTATGGTTCAGATTAGAAAGAGTAGACGGTATGCAATTATTAAAAGAAGGCACCAAGCTGGGAAGATTTTAGCATTTCCTGTGTCAAGGAACACTCAAAAGGTACTAAATATCACTCGGGATCAACACACACACATGAGCTAAAAAGACATAAGGAGATTGCAGTCAAAGGTATTTGATTCACCAAGGCACTGTATATATTTTGTGGACAGTGATTGGTCAGTTAATATAAATAAAAATAGCGAACAGCAAAAGTTATAATTAGCAATAGTAAGCACAATCGTTTTAGTTATGGTAAACAGTTAAGCTTGTAAATTATTGTATATAATTGCAGGCAATGAGTCACAATAACGTGGCTAAAGTAGGTTGACCAGACCACACACTAGAAGGTGAAGGGACGATGACATTTCGGTCCGTCCTGGACCATTCTCAAGTCGATTGCGACTTGAGAATGGTCCAGGACGGACCAAAACGTTGTCGTCCCTTTACCTTCTAGTGTGTGGTCTGGTCAACATTGTATATAACTCTTCTACTATAAAATAATATTACACAAAAGAAGTTAAAATTAATCATTCACTTTATTTTCATCTGTATGCACAGTATTATATTAGAAAACAAAAGTACATTTACATTATCGCTCAGCATGCAAATAAAGTACTGTACTACACACAACTTTGTAACTAACCTTTTTAGCAGAAGGCCCCAGTGTAGTTAATACATTATCCACAGTTTTGTGTTTTCCACATAATTCTTCCATTTTAAAACTTTGTATATGCCTAAACCACCTACTTATATGTTCATACTGTGGCAAGTTCTCTGTAACCGACTGTAGTGAATGGCATACAACTGTATCACTTACGGTTGGCTGATAGCCTTCAACGTAACTGTGTTCATTAAAATGGTCATTTAGTTTTCTTAAATTTTCTGATGTCCAAAAACCTTTATCACTCATTTTTTTTTTAATGTACCTGAAAAAAATGTACCATCTGTAAAGGTATGCATTAATATGGTGAAAACACAAAATTGGCATGATAAGACAGTAAGGTATTACCAAACATGAGATACATTATTATTTTGTCATAGCATATAAGCTATATGAACACATAAATCGCAAGGGCATAATTTAAATCATCGTGTCTGGGGGGGGACAGGCAGACAATGTATATATACACATTTTAGGCTTATATCGAGGTTACCCCCCCCCCCAAGAGTTGAATTACTGACCCTCCCCAGGATGCAAACCACAACAACTGCCCAATATTGGGTATCTATTTACAGTTAGGGGAACAGAGGCATTAGGTGAAAGGAAATGTATCAAAACATTTTTGTCCTACACAGGAATTGAAACTGGGATCATTGATTGTGAGATGAGAATGAAGCCAACTGGACTACAATTCAACAATGCCCAGATACCACGAGTTGACCGTACCCTGATACTACTAGTCGACCGTACCCAGATACTACTAGTCGACCGTACCCAGATACCACAAGTCGGCCGTACCCAGATACCACGAGACGGCCGTACCCAGATACCATGAGTCGGCCGTACCCAGATACCACGAGTGGCCGTACCCAGATACCACGAGTCGGCCATACCCAGATACCACGAGTCGGCCATACCCAGATACCACGAGTCAGCCATACCCAGATACTATGAATCAACTGTACCCAGATACTTCGAGTCGACCGTGCCCAGATACCAGGAGGATCATGCCAGTACAGTCGGGTTCATTCTCGACTCACCATCAAGAATTCCGGGTTCGAATCCTAGGTAGGACAGAAATGGTTGGGCACGTTTCCTAATACTGTACCTAATGCACCTGTTCACCTAACAGTAAGTATGTACTCAGGAGTTGGCTTGTGGTGGAGTTACATCATGAAAGGAATCAGTAATTCGACCTTGGGGGGGAAGCCTCGATATAAGCCTATCGTGAATGAATATACTCTGGCTGCCTGTCCCCCGACACAATGATTATTATTATTTATGCCCAATAGTTCACTTCTTAAGGGATTAAATATCTACACCAAGAATACCAAAATATGATAAGAATAATCAGATCTTTCACTCAAAACAATAACTGAACATATGACCATTCATAACTCCTATCTAAACACTGCCCCAGTAAATACTGCCATACACATGGTATCTCCATAATCAAATGAGCAACGTTTCTGTCATAAAATGAGTTTAAGCGACATACTTGCGATATTCTAGAGCAAAGTTTGTGTGGGAGAGCGGAGCACAACACCTTCCCTCTGCCCGACCATGCAGTCAGCTGGCGGCAGACATTCTCTCCTAACACACCTCTACCTAAAAATATACATACACACCGCTATTATTGCACCGTTAAAATATCCCAAGCGTGTAATTTTCTACATCAATCATATTTTGGTTAACAGTTTGTGTATTATTTTGTTTGATTCACTCGAACACGTTGACATATTTCCTGTGTCCGTTTGGATTTGTTTGTTTCTGGCTTAGGCTTCAAAAACGGTGCACTAGTATGTATCTATTAGTAGTCGCCTATTAGTGACTACTTTGGTGTCACTCTAGCGATTTATGACCCGTCTACGAGCCTTGTTGTAATTGCTGCTTTATACTTAAACTATTCTAATGCTCGTGAAAAAACTATTATCGTGGACTGGAAGTCTTATTCCGGGGAAAATTAGGATTAAGGACTTTTCCGAAACGCTTTGCGTGCTAGTGGCTATACATGAATGTAAGAACTCTTGTATATATAAATAAAATATAAATAAATTATCGACGTTCTCATAGCCAAGAGTACGAACGCCATATCCGCTAGATATCCCGTCCAACTACTGGTTAATTGAATTATACAGATTTTAGATTCAATTTAGTAATATCAGATATTTTATTTCAACAATTTATATTATATCCACACATGAAAACATAATCCGTGGACTGTATTTATCTTTTAGGGTTGTTAGCCCAAAATTCTTGTATGAAGAATTAAAAATTAGTGATTCTGTTGGTCTGAAACTTTGTTATCCTCTGAGTTTCTTAGAATTGTGCCGTAGTGATCTATGTTTACCATATTTTTATGTTTTGCTTTGAAACTTTCTGATATACATGTGTTGTTTAATTATGAAAATACAGTTGGAAAATTATTTGTTAGAAACAGCCCTCAAGTGAAAACTGTGTCATTTACAAAATACTTTGCAAAGATTTTAATAAATTCTATATAGGTCAAATATCCAAAGATTTGAAATTTAGAATTCTGCAACATTAATATTCTGTAAAAAAAAGGCCAATTATCTGATGCTCTATTTATTCACTTGTTACAAAATTCTCAGCAAACTGATTGAGAAAAATTTCTTCAATAACTAATCATAAAAACATTTTCAATTGAAACATTATCCAATCTGCTTTAATACAAATCACAAAACCATACAATGTGAACATTAGCAATGGCTTACACAATTTGGACTCTTTTTAATTTATCTTAAAAAAAAAACGACTTGAGAAGGAGCATTAATAAACAGCTATCACAATAAATTCTCAGTAACATTGGTGTTTTATGGAACTCTCATGTATTGTACAATGGGCATTTTCTACAGGTTCCACTTATGTTTGTGAACCCATTACTTATTTTTTTTACCTCATTCCTGCTTGTATATATCAACCACTGACTTGTAATATTCATCCTTCTGAAGATATAATGATTAATACGAAAGTACCTAAGGACCTTCCTGGACCTATGATTGCTTATCGCGACCTAGGACAGAACGAGTTAATGCATTGTGAAGATATCACCAGAGTTTGCCAGTGCAGACTGTACTTATCACATGGCTTTGTATGGATTTTTACCATCATGTAGCTAGTTACTGACACACTGTGCTCCCCTTCGTATAGTCTAGGGTAGCCGCACAAATGCAGATGTACCTAAACATCCCGTTCTCTCACTTTCTTTAAGTCAATATTGACTTATTAAATACGTGCATATGTGACATACTAATTTATTGTGAATATTTCAGTTTACCTTGAAAAGCTTCATAGAAAACACTGACCTTACCTAACCTTCTTAGTATGATGCAATAAGATGCTTATCTTAACATACTAAGAAGGTTAGGTAAGGTCGGTGTTTTCTATGAAGCTTTTCAAGGTAAACTAAAATATTCACAATAAATTAGTATGTCACATATGCATTTATTTAATAAGTCAATATTGACTTACAGAAAGTGCGAGAACGGGTTGACCTAAATGTGTTAATACAAAAAGAAAACGGGAGCAGCCACTGTTTGCTCGGGCTGACGCAATCAAGAGGACGTGACGACAGGGGCTTGCGTCAGGCAGGTGAGACAGGGGCTTGCGTCATTCAGGTGAGACAGGGGTTTGCGTCAGGCAGGTGAGACAGCAGCTTGCGTCAGGCAGGTGAGACAGCAGCTTGCGTCAGGCAGGTGAGACAGCAGCTTGCGTCAGGCAGGTGAGACAGCAGCTTGCGTCAGGCAGGTGAGACAGCAGCTTGCGTCAGGCAGGTGAGACAGCAGCTTGCGTCAGGCAGGTGAGGGAGCTCCACCTCCCACGGACGCCGGTGTGTCAAGGCTCTGGCGTCTATTTTCACTATCCACCAGGTGGGTTTTCTGGCTTTAGTGTTTATAACAGTCAGGAACATGGATAAATTTATCACAAGAGACTGAAGGAAGGGGGACCTTAAAATATTACTCACGGGCAATCAAGGAGGACGTAGGAGAAGGGGTGTCTTTGCTGGTAGGGGTGCTTTTGTTGGGGAGGGGGGTGCTTTTGTTGGGGAGGGGGGCTTTTGTTGGGGAGGAGGGGGTTTTGTTGGGGAGGGGGTGCTTTTGTTGGGGAGGGGGTGCTTTTGTTGGGGAGGGGGGTGCTTTTGTTGGGGAGGGGGTGCTTTTGTTGGGGAGGAGGGGGTGCTTTTGTTGGGGAGGGGTGCTTTTGTTGGGGAGGGGGTGCTTTGTTGGGGAGGGGGGTGCTTTTGTTGGGGAGGAGGGGGTGCTTTTGTTGGGGAGGGGGTGCTTTTGTTGGGGAGGGGTGCTTTTGTTGGGGAGGGGGTGCTTTTGTTGGGGAGGGGGGTGCTTTTGTTGGGGAGGGGGTGCTTTTGTTGGGGAGGGGGGTGCTTTTGTTGGGGAGGGGGGGGTGCTTTTGTTGGGGGGGAGGGGTGTTTTTTGTTGGGGAGGAGGGGGTGCTTTTGTTGGGGAGGGGTGTTGCTTTTGTTGGGGAGGGGGTGCTTTTGTTGGGGAGGGGGTGCTTTTGTTGGGGAGGGGGTGTTTTTGTTGGGGGAGGGGGTGCTTTGTTGGGGAGGGGGTGCTTTTGTTGGGGAGGGGGTGCTTTTGTTGGGGAGGAGGGGGTGCTTTTGTTGGGGAGGGGGTGCTTTTGTTGGGGAGGGGGTGCTTTTGTTGGGGAGGAGGTGCTTTTGTTGGGGAGGGGGTGCTTTTGTTGGGGAGGAGGGGGTGCTTTTGTTGGGGAGGAGGGGGTGCTTTTGTTGGGGAGGGGGGTGTTTGTTGTTGGGGAGGGGGTGTTTTTGTTGGGGAGGGGGTGTTTTTTGTTGGGGAGGGGGTTTTTGTTGGGGAGGGGGTGCTTTTGTTGGGGAGGGGGTGTTTTTGTTGGGGAGGGGGTGCTTTTGTTGGGGAGGAGGGGGTGCTTTTGTTGGGGAGGGGTGTTTTTGTTGGGGAGGGGGTTGTTTTTGTTGGGGAGGGGGTGTTTTTGTTGGGGAGGGGTGTTTTTGTTGGGGAGGGGGTGCTTTTGTTGGGAGGAGGGGGTGCTTTTGTTGGGGAGGGGTGTTTTTGTTGGGGAGGGGTGCTTTTGTTGGGGAGGGGGTGCTTTTGTTGGGGAGAGGGGGTGCTTTTGTTGGGGAGAGGGGGTGCTTTGTTGGGGAGGGGTGCTTTTGTTGGGAGGGGGTGCTTTTGTTGGGGAGGGGGGTGCTTTTGTTGGGGAGGGGGTGCTTTTGTTGGGGAGGGGGTGCTTTTGTTGGGGAGGGGTGCTTTTGTTGGGGAGGGGGTGCTTTTGTTGGGGAGGGGGTGCTTTTGTTGGGGAGAGGGGGGGTGCTTTTGTTGGGGAGAGGGGGTGCTTTTGTTGGGGAGGGGGGTGCTTTTGTTGGGGAGGGGGTGCTTTTGTTGGGGAGGGGGTGCTTTTGTTGGGGAGGGGGTGCTTTTGTGGGGAGGGGGTGCTTTTGTTGGGGAGGGGGTGCTTTTGTTGGGGGAGAGGGGGTGCTTTTGTTGGGGAGGGGGTGCTTTGTTGGGGAGGGGGTGCTTTTGTTGGGGAGGGGGTGCTTTTGTTGGGGAGGGGGTGCTTTTGTTAGGGAGGAGGGGGTGCTTTTGTTGGGGAGGGGTGCTTTTGTTGGGGAGGGGTGCTTTTGTTGGGGAGGGGGTGCTTTTGTTGGGGAGGGGGTGCTTTTGTTGGGGAGGGGGTGCTTTTGTTGGGAGGGGTGCTTTTGTTGGGGAGGGGGGTGCTTTTGTTGGGGGAGGAGTGCTTTTGTTGGGGAGGGGGTGCTTTTGTTGGGGAGGAGGGGGTGCTTTTGTTGGGGAGGAGTGCTTTTGTTGGGGAGGGGTGCTTTGTTGGGGAGGGGGTGCTTTTGTTGGGGAGGAGTGCTTTTGTTGGGGAGGGGGTGCTTTTGTTGGGGAGGGGTGTTTTTGTTGGGGAGGGGGTGTTTTGTTGGGGAGGGGTGTTTTTGTGGGGAGGGGGTGCTTTTGTTGGGGAGGGGGTTGTTTTTGTTGGGGAGGGGTGTTTTTGTTGGGGAGGGGTGTTTTTGTTGGGGAGGGGTGCTTTTGTTGGGGAGGAGTGCTTTTGTTGGGGAGGGGGTGCTTTTGTTGGGGAGGGGGTGCTTTTGTTGGGGAGGGGGTGCTTTTGTTGGGGAGGGGTGTTTTTGTTGGGGAGGGGTGTTTTTGTTGGGGAGGGGGTGTTTTTGTTGGGGAGGGGGTGCTTTTGTTGGGGAGGAGTGCTTTTGTTGGGGAGGGGGTGCTTTTGTTGGGGAGGGGGTACTTTTGTTGGGGAGGGGTGTTTTTGTTGGGGAGGGGGTGTTTTTGTTGGGGAGGGGGTGCTTTTGTTGGGGAGGAGTGCTTTTGTTGGGGAGAGGGGGTGCTTTTGTTGGGGAGGGGGTGTTTTTTGTTGGGGAGGGGTGTTTTTGTTGGGGAGGGGTGCTTTTGTTGGGGAGGGGTGCTTTTGTTGGGGAGGGGGGTGTTTTTGTTGGGGAGGGGGGTGTTTTGTTGGGGAGGGGGGTGCTTTTGTTGGGGAGGGGTGTTTTTGTTGGGGAGGAGGGGGTGCTTTTGTTGGGGAGGGGGTGCTTTTGTTGGGGAGGGGTGCTTTTGTTGGGGAGGGGGTGTTTTTGTTGGGGAGGGGGGGTGCTTTTGTTGGGGAGGGGGTGCTTTTGTTGGGG